CTGTGTTCACAGAGAACTGGCCAGTGTCTGATTTTTGAAAAACAAAACATCTTTTAGTCCTGCATATTGGTGCCTACTCTCCCTCCTCCCGTCACCATAATCACATTTTCCGGGCTCATGGTTGTCCCCTAGAAGCCAGGAGATGGGAAGAGAAAGAAGGAAGAGTGTGCATGCTGGGCTACTGGCATAAAGCACAGAGCAGAACAGCCATCCCAAGAGCTGTCCTCCCAGGTCACCCAGAATCTGGAGAAGGGGCTGGAGTGTGGGAGTCAGCACCCCTTTCATGCTGCTGAAACACCAGGTGCCACGGACCAGCAAGGCTGTCAGCAGCTCAGGACCCACTTGGGATTCTTGTTACTCTTCAAATTCATTCTTTCAGCCAACAAATGTTTATTGAGCACCTACTATATGCCAAGGGATGCATCGCTGTAAAAGAGAGAAAGCCCCTGCCTGGGGAGAGTGTGCCTTAGTAGGAGAAGACAAACACATACACAGAAGCAAGAAATGAAGAAAAGTAAACTTCAGTCTGTACGAAAGAGGAAGAAAAAGCTCCTGGAAGACTGGAATGACCAGAAAATGGAGTTTTCCATGAAAAGCCTCGTCTGTGTGCAGTCTGTAAGGCATCTGTTGTTGTTGTTGTTACGTGCCATCGAGTCGGTACCAACTCATAGCGGCTTTATGCATAGCAGAACAAAACTCTGCCCAATCCTGGGCCAACTTCACTACTGTTGCCATGTTTGAGTCCATCAATGCTGCCACTTGGCCAATCCATATCGTTGAGGGGCTTCTTCAATCTCAAATTGATCAAACATGCAATCAAAATGTATTGATCATTACTGGTGACTGGAATGCAAAGGTTGGGAGCAAAGAGGAAGGAGCAGTAGTTGGAAAATATGGCCTTGGTGATAGAAATGATGCTGGAGAACGCATGATAGAATTCTGAAAAACCAATGATTTGTTCATTTCAAATACCTTCTTTAGACAGCATAAGAGACGACTATACACATGGACATCACCAGATGGAATTGACTACATCTGCAGAAAGAGACAATGGAAAAGCTCCATATCATAGCTTGTCATGATCCACCCAATCGAAAGCCTTTACATAGTCAATAAAGCACTGATATTCTCTGCTTTCAGCTAAGATCCATCGGACATCAGCAATGATATCCCTCGTTCCACGGCCTCTTCTGAATCCAGCTTGAACCTCTGGAAGTTCTGTGTCAATGTATGCTTGCAGCCTCAAAGTAGAGCTGACCGTGATGACGCGAATGGAGTAAAACCCATGGGAGTAAAGCCCGCAGGTCCTTCATTTGCAGATGGGGCACAACTCAACATGAATAGAGACAGCTGTAAACATCCACTGAAAATTGGAACATGGAACGTACAAAGTATGAATCTGGGAAAATTGGAAGTTGTCAAAAATGAAATGGAATGCATCAACATCGATATCAGGCATTAGTGAGCTGAACTGGACTGGTATTGGCCATTTTGAATCTGATGACTACATGGTTTACTATGCAGGGAACGACAAATTGAAGAGGAATGGTGTTGCATTCATTGTCAAAAAGAACAGATCCAGATTGGTCATGAGGTGCAGTGCTGTCTGTAACGCAGTAGGGGGTCAGATTCTTGGGAAAAGGAAGCCGGCATCACGGAGCTGGAAGAGGCAGGGCAGGTGGCGCTTCAGCTGGAGAAAGCTGAGGACTTGAAGCTAGTAAGGTTCACATAGCTCCGGAACCACGTCCCCAGCAGAGGCGTGTCTGTGCGTGAGGACCAGCAGAAACCTGCGGGAAATGCTGACGTCAGAGAGCTGGAGGATGGTCCCGGCTGCCATTGTTCTCTGGAGTTGCTGAACCAGAAATACGGCAAGCGAGTGGATTTAACAAACAGGAACTCACTGACTCACACTTTAGAAGGCTGTGTTGTCAAAAAATGCGGTCGGGTCAGTTCCTACTAAAAGCAGCCCTGTATAGGGTTTCCAAGGGGCGCCTAGTTTCATCTTGAGGTTAGCAGTTCAGTGAGACAAGTCCAAGTTCAGGGCACCAACTTTAACGGAAGGCTTTCTCTCTGTGTTGCCTCGAGAGGAAGGCCTTAGTCTCCTTCCAACATCTGTGGACTCTGTGTCCCTTGGAGGTTCCCTGTGTCTTCTTGGCATCAATCTTCTCCCGGGTCCAGGAGGTTCTCAGTGCAGGGACCCTCTGCTCCCAGCTCTTCTTTCATGGTGGTCCTGAGGTCTCTCCTTCTCCATCCGATTCTCTCTCCTTTTAGCTCTCAGAACATGGAACACGCTACAAGCCACACCCTAGAGAAACTCCCCTGATACCAGGGCTGTGACCCTAGCAAGGGTGTTGCAACCCACCCTAATCCCTTACAACTGATTGGCTGATCACAGTGTGGCATATGGTTACGTCATTATATAAAGGCCAAGTTACATCATTACATACCTGACAAAACTAAACTACTGAGAATCATGGCCCAGTCGGTAGAAGGCATATTTTGGGGAACACGATCTAACCCAGGACTAGCACCAGAGGGGTGGTGGGTGGTCACGTGACACAGGTCTTCTAGCTTCTTTGGATGCTGGTCTTTATTGGAGTGAGATGGGGAAGGTTCTGGGCAGGGGAGGCCCGACGGGAGTTACCAGGTAGAAGGCACTCTGGCTGTCGTGTGGGGGGGGTAAACGGGAGCAATGTAAGAGCAGGAGCAGGGAGGCCGCTGAGAACTAAGAGTAGCTCCAGCCAGCACGATGCATGGTGAGAAATCATCATATTCACGGGCAGTTCTGAAGAGAGCCAACAGGCACGGATGCACTGGACATGGTGCAAGAGAAAGAGGGGCGTCAAGAAAGGCTTTGAGGACCAGGCTTTCTGCTCAGAAAGAGACGGGAGGAACCAAGATTCTGGCCCTCCACCATCTGTCAGGTCTGGAACTGAACTCACTCTCGTGGCTCAGTTTTCAGCCAAGCAGTAGATAAGTACATGTACATGGAGGGACCACAACGCTAGTAGCAGACACACACCACAGAAACATCAACCGTTGAAGATCACACAAAGCACTGAGATGAAACCAAGTGTATGACTGGTGGAATGTAGAACTAACTGATGATCTCCTCTGTAAACTTTCACTCAATTCACAGTGAAAAGCTGAAAATAAAACAAAAGTGCTGAGATTTTAGGACTAAACAACTGGTAAACAGAAGACTGAGGGTTGGAATCCCTTTGTGGTCACCAGGAGTCCTGGTGTGCAGCACTTGATTCCAAGAATGGTTTGAAACACAAGGTTGGCAGTTCAAACTTACCAGTTGCTCCTTGGAAACCCTATACAGGGTCACCATGGGTCAGAACTGACTCAACGGCACTTAACAACAACAACAGCTTGGAAACATAGCTGCCGTGAGTGGAGAATTCCAATGCAGAGGGGGACCTCTGGACCTCGGAGGCTGACACAGGCATTTCAGTAGCATAAACAATTGTAAGATGGAGTGCGGGCCGCTCGGCTAAGGTGCTCTCAGGTGAGGCAGCATGTTGGGGAAGAAGCTGCCCTCGGAGTTGGCAGTCGTGGGTGTTTGCCCCAGCTGTGCCACGTCCCCTCTGTGGAAAGTCACAGGCAGATCCACTGACTCTGGGTTTCAGGCCGGGGCAGCCTGGGACCTAGCTGTGTGGACTGAGATGCTGAGCGCTGGGACAGCTAGGACACTGATCCACCCGGAGCAAGCACTGGGGCTAGGTGATGGGAGGCAAACTGAGATCTAGGACAAACGGCCCTGAGGAGGACAGACGGAGTGCTGAGGCAGACAACAAGTACCCCTTGGCTTTTAGCCTCCTACAATGTGGCCAAGTGGCCACAGTTCATGCCATTGGAACTGCCCTCAACAAGCCCATCAGTGACTGACTATCACCCCTGATGGTCACACCAGGAACCTGAGACCACCCTCAGCCCCCATCCCTTCTCTCCAATCTCCTGTCCCCTTCGTATTCCTAAGGATTTCCTGAGTCTTCCCCATATGTCAGATCCTGGACTGTGTGTGTGTGTGTCTGGGGGCTGGGGGCTGGGTCTGGACTATTTCAGTAGCTCTGTAACCCCCTTTACTGTGCCTCTAACCCTGTCTCTGCCTTCATGCTGCTGCTGTTGGTGGTGGTGGTGGTGGGGAGGGGGCTATGATACAGGCAGGCACCTGGTAAGCAGCGGCACTCATGAAATGGTTCTTGTCTTGAAAATCAATTTCACTGCCTTCTTCGGAAGCTGGGCACATGGACAGCACTACCTAGCAACTGAACACTTTATTTTAAAAAGAATAGCTGAGAATGATTAGCTAACAGGGATGGCAACAGGCATTGTGAGTCCGCATTCAAATGAACTCCTGAGATGTCTTTGTGGAGCTCTGCGAGCACACACCTTTCCCACGTGTGCTGGTCAGTGTCCACTGTTGTTGTGGTGAAGTGCCGTCGACCTGTATGGGGTTTCCAAGGAGCAGCTTGTGGGTTTGAACCGCCCACCTTTCAGTTAAGAGTGCAATGCTGATCCTGCAGCGCCACACCAGGACTCCCGCTCCCAAAGATACGCACAGATCAGCTCTTGTCCTGCTTTATCATGTTTCCCAGCCAGGTGCGAGTTTATTTACTTAGTTTTAACTTTCTAGAGGAAGCAAAGCCAGCTCTGTTATCACAAACATGAGACTGACTCCCAGGCATCCTTGTATATTTCCACCTCTGCACAGGGCCAAGTACCTGGTGGGAAGCTAGCCCACGCACCCATTTAAACATCAGCATTTAGCTATCACAACCGGACTGCACCCATAGCAGACGTCTTCTCTGAGGAAGTTTGTCAAAGACATTTTGGCAAAGAATTAAGCTGTTGAGAGACGCCTGAGACATGGATCTCCTTTGTCTTGGAACAGCCCTTGACTGTACACTTAATTCCTGTCCTTTAGGGGGCGCTGATGGAGGAAAACTGCCACACTTCTTCTAGGAAGAAACACAGAGAAACCCACGGCCTACCTTCCTGAAGTCGTGCGGATTAATTTTTTCACCTGGCTCCTTGCTGAAGTCAAGAAATCGTTTTCGGAAGGCTGGGTCATGCTGCTGGATACAATTTTTGAGTTTTTCAATCACTGCTTCCATGGTCAGATTCTTGGTCAAGGGGAGCTTCTCTTCAGTGGGTTTGGTTCTAAAATCACAAGCAGGCATTTAGGTCTAGGATCAAGTGCCACATGCTTGCTGCTTCCTGCAGGCCTTGCCTGTTTACTAGTGATCTGTTACAGTGAGGAAGTGGACGCTGGCAAAGATGACAGGACAGTGACTTAGGGTCAATGAATGTCAGCAGCCGCTCTGCATTAAGTCGGTCCAGGAGACTAGGAAGCACCCACATAAGTCAGGGGAGCCCACAATGATTCCCGCTGATTTACAGGCTCAACTGGTATACACAATGGAAATCTGACATGATGTAATGTGTGTGTGGGTTACTTATGTGTGTATGGGTGTATATGTATATATGTGTGTATAAATATATGTGTATGTATTATGTATGTGTGGGGGAGGAGTATATTGTGTGTGTATGAGTGTTACGTATGTGAATGTGTATGTGTGTGTTACGTACGTGTGTATGGGTGAATGTGTATGTGTGTGTTACGTATATATGTGTGTACGGATATATTTGTATGTATTGTGTATGTGTGGGGGGGAGTATATTGTGTGTGTATGGGTGTTATGTATGTGTGTGTGTATGGGTATATGTGCATATTGTGTGTAGGTGTGGGGGGGTATATGTGTACATGTGGGTGTGTATATGGGTATATCTGTGTGTACTGTGTGTATATGAATGTGTAAGTATGTGCGTGTGTGAGTGTGTATGGGTACATTATGTATTTGTGTTCAGAGGGTCACTGTTTCCTCAGCTCTCCAGAAGTTTCTTTGGCCCCGTTTTTTTTGTGGAAAAACACACCAGCCCTCGGTAACTAGCGGAGAGCAAGCATCTGTCCCTCCCAGCAGCAAGCAGCTTCTCTCCACTATGAAGAGCTCTCCCGGCTGCCGTATCTCTTCCATGAGATGCTTAATTGCCATTCCGGCTTTCGCTGGCTTTAGGAGGCAGACATATCTTACACAGGACAGTTCACCTTTCTCTTAAAATGCCATCTTTCTACCCATTTATAAAGCAGCTACTACTGAAGTGCCCAGATATTCAAATTTCATTAGCATACTGTTAAAATATCCCCAGCGCTCTATACTTCAGGCCTTCTTAAGAGGGACGTGACGACGTGAAACCTGCTGAAAAGCTGTAAGTTTTACGAGTCCTTATGGATTTATCATAAGCTATCAACCAGCCAGTTAAAATAATCTCTTTTCATTAGACTAAGCCTATATTTTTCAAAAGGAATAAGTGCTAGAATATTCATCCGCCTGGCTTTTTTTTTCTAAAAAAAGATTCACTAAGTATGTTTTATTGTTACAATTTCATTTAGCAATCATTTTAATAAGTCGATCATCCACGTTGGAAAATGAGAACCGGTTTAATGGCTGTTTTGTGATAAATATTAAAAGGCAGAAAGCAATCTACATTTCTGGAGAAGGATAAATGGGATTCAAGTAACAGTTTCGTTGCAAATAGATTCACTGGGAGTCAGGAGTCCACGATTCTTGGCCCAGGCCTAGTACTAAGACAGTGAACCCCAGAAATCTCAGCATTTGCATTACCCTGAATTAACGCATGCATTCGATACTTCCCAAGGTCTCACCCTGCTCTAAAATTCCATGAGTCTGATGACTGTATTTACAGTGTGCCATCTTATTTAAACAATAAAATATTAAAATACTCATTTACTCAGCAAATATTTACGAAATGCCGATTCCGCAACGGGCAGAGTCATTTCAGAGTCATTTTACCTCTCAGGGGGGGCCGGCCCCAGCTGCGTCTCCTTTGGAACAGGCTCACTTAACGGCAGATCCGTCGGGATGAAAAGTGGAGAGGTCGTGCGTGGGCCATTAATTCCAATGCTTGACAAAAGTTTCTTGTAAAGGATTCTTCCGGAAGTAATATCCTGAAACTTACTACAGAGTCTGGGTTTTGAAAAGAATGAAAACACAGCCTTTAGAATGGCTAGAATGAGAACGTCTTGGCCTTACCAAGTGCTGCCTGAGTGTAACTACGGTACTTATCCGCTGTTGGCGGTTATGTAGAATGGAAAAGCTGCTTTGGAAGATGGTCTGCTGTTGAATTGTTCTTGTTGTGAAGTGCTGTCAAGTCAGTTCCAACCTATAGAGACCCCATATAGGGTTTCTGAGGAGCAGCTGGTGAGCTTGAACCGCCAACCTTGCAGTTCAAATGGCTTTGCAGTCTGGTGCATTAACCCACAGCGCCACTCTACACACTTACAATCTGAGCCAGCCACTCCACTCGCAGCTATGTGCCCAGGCGAAATGAAAATGTGTGTCTATTCAAAGATTTGTAACAATATGGTCAGAGATTAGCCCCAAATTGGACCCAAGTAACCATCAGCAGATGAACAGATACACAAACTGGGGCAGACCCACGTGTGGAATACCACGTGGCGGTGAGAAATGAGCAGCATGCTCATATACGGAACAAGACGGATGAACCCCAAACTATGAAGCCAGACCAGAGATGGGAACGCCTTATGTTCTTCCATTGAAGGAGCACCCTCAAAAGAGCAGAGCAATCCAGTGACAGGAAGTCAATCAGCTGTTACTTGGGGACGGGAGTGGAAGGAAGCACGGCTTGCTGCAGACATGAAAAAGGAAGCTTTTGGGGATGATGAAAATGTCTTCTGTGTCATTTCCTGAGTGTAAAGAGGATGAATTTCACTTCAGTTCAGTGTGTGAAGCTAGTCTATGGAGAAGGAAGTCTGGTGACACAGTGGTTAAGTGCTTGGCTGTTAACCGAAAGGCAGTGATGAAACCCACCAGCTGTTTCACAGGGGACAGCTGTGACGGGCTACTGCAGAGACGACAGCCCTGCAAACCCTCCTCTGTCCTACAAAGTTGCTATGAGCTGGAATCCACTGGAGGACAGTGGGTATTCTGTACGTAAACTAGTTCTCAGTGAAGACACAACGCATTCAAGTTATTTTTAGAATTAGAAATTTTGGTATGAAATTATGGAGCTATTAATATTGGAACTTTAGCATGCGCAAATGTTTCAGGAAAACGGAGATACCACTAACAGGCCATAGTGAGTCCTGGTGTGGAGCTGTGGGTTAATGTGCTGGACTGCAAAGTTGGTTTGAACCACTAGGTGGGTGGTTCAAGCTCACCAGCTGCTCCTCGGAAACCTAATACAGGGTGGAACCGACTCAAACCCTATACAGGGTCACTATGAGTCAGTCAGAACTGACTTGATGGCATCTAACAACAACAACAGTGAGCTCAGCCTTGAAGAAAGACCAGGATTTATTTCTTTTCCTTCTTAACCTTTTGTTTTAGTTAATATTTTTAAATTACAGTATAAAAGTTGTATGTGCTAATTATAACAAACTTGGTAAATATAAGAGTCTGAGAATCAAAACAAAAATTTACATAGTCATTAAAATTTATAAGGCAAGAGAGTACAGTCCTTGTAGGTCTGGCCCAGAATTGGCCTGCCGGGTCTGAGTGTCAGCCCCATGGGCCCATAATCATGTGACCAAAGCAATGACCTCAGGGTACACGCTGAAGACACTTTCAGGGGATTGGAGAGGTCAAAACGATTTCATATCAACACTAAGGTGTCATCTGCCTTTTGGAGTCCCTGGGTGGCAGAAACAGGTAAACACTCGGCTACTAACAGAGAACTTGATGGTTCAGACCTGGAGATCTGCTTCTGAAACCTCAGCCATTGAGAACCCTGTGGGCACAGTTAGACTCTGACACGCGTGGGATCACTGGGGGTCAGAGTGGGCTCCACACAGCTGGTACTGCACACACAGGGTCACTGTGGGTTCCGCAGCTGGTACCGCACACACAGGGTCACTGTTGGTTCCACAGCTGGTACCGCACACACAGGGTCACTGGGAGTCGGAGTAGGTTCTACAGCTGGTACCGCACACACGGGGTGGTCACGAGTCGGAGTGGGCTCCACAGCTAGTACTGGCATTTGCTTTTCTGACTCTATGCCCCGTGGATTTTTCCAGAAGTCATGCTGTGTGAGATGACGTCATCGCACTGACAGCCAATGCAATGTATGCACGGGTGCTCGGGAGTTGTCTAGGGTTTGCGGTGTGGGTTGAGGGTATAAGTAGGTTGGTGTTCAGACATTCTGTTTCTTCACAGCACTGCTGCTGGCTCCCTACCTCTGCTATTTAATTTCTGTAGCCTCGTGGAAATTGTGTGTCGTGGAGGTGATTCTGACAGGGCAGAGGAGAAGTTGTCTAGACCGTGATCTTTCTGGTAGATGACCATGACACTCCAATTAGCAGCTGAGTGCTGAACCATGGCTTCACTAGGGCTCCTTTGCCATGCATTAGGCAGGCTTCCAACATGGTCAGATTTGCAGGGGGACAGACAGTTTGGCTACAGCAGGGAGAGTGGACTGCAGAGGTAGCCATCTCTTCCACTCCATCTGGCTCAATCTTATGCTCAACAGTGACAGAGCCCTGGGCTGTACTGGCACCAGCGTCTCAGCGATGAGGAGACAAAGCCCTTGTCCTTACCATCCTTGGTGGGGTGATGCAGATAAACGGTCAGCGCTAAGAGCCATGACACAGAAAGCTGACCACAGGGAGGGTGGGGAGAGCGACTAGTCCCTCGAGGTGACCTTGTGTGGCAGTGCTAACATGTCCGGTACAGATCTTCTGGGTTTCACTCCTGGGACTGTTCGTCCTCTGTCTCCCCCGTCTGGAAGGCAACCCTGAGCACCTACCCATCAATCCTTCTCAGCCAGTCACAACCATTTCTACTCCAAGACTCACCATGACTCTGCACGGCTTCTGACGAGATTTGTTCCTCTAGAGCTAGCCTGCTGTGGCACTGTAGGATAAGCACTGAACTGCTAACTACAAGGCTACTCTTTGGATACCCCATGTTGTTAAGTAACGTCTAGTCTGTTTGGACTTGTATGGGGTTTCTGACGAGCGGCTCAGTGTTCAAACTGACCTTGCAGTCCAGCACATTAACCCACAGCATCCCACCAGGACTCCAGGTCTTTATGAGTCAGAATCCACTTGACAACACTTCACAGCAACAGCATAGAACTACCGGCCACCCGCCTGTCTGTCAGTCTGTCCTACTGCGATGGCTGAAGTTACCTCTCATGAGTCTTCCTCTTGAGACCAGGACACGTTAAGTATCTCCCCAAAGTCACAGCTAACAAATATGGAGCCTGGATCCAGCTGGGGTCTGTATGGTTCTAAGCCTGGATCCAGCCGGGGTCTGTATGGTTCTAAGCCTGACGTGTCTGCCTCCCACAGCCTCTGGCTGTGTGGCTATGTTGTTAGTGTCCACTGGGTCAGCTCGGGCCTATGATGATCTATTGTGTAACAGAACGCGCAGTCACCTGCCCACTGGCAGTCATGAGGCCAGTGTTGTAGCCATTGTGCCAATCCATCTCACGGAGAGTTTCCCTTGTTTCCACAAATAGTTGAGTGCTTAACTGTCCAGGCAACCCAGGGACTCAGAGTGAACTCAATGGCACCTTCCACCTCCGTATGACACGGCTGTGTTGCTGTGAGGTCCCATCGAATCCTTTCTTACTCATAGTGACCCTTTGCACAACAGAAGGAAATGCTGCCCTGTCCTGCCCCAGACCCACAACTGTGACGTCTGAGCCCACTGTTGCCGCCACTGCGCTAATCCACAGGAGACAAACAGCAGCTAGGGTCCTGGCGTGACCTTGTGGGAGAAGCCCTGGACCATAAAGTGGACTTGAACCACAAGGTCGGTGGTTCAAACTCACCAGCTATACAGGGTCGCTATGAGTCAGAACCAATTCGACGGCACCTGACAACAACAATCCTGGTACGACGTTGTAGGGGAAACGCTGAACCGCTAACTGCAAGGCTGGCGATTCAGACCCACCAACTGCTCCTCAGAAACCCTACACAAGGTCTCTATGTCAGAACCAAGTTGACAGCACGTAACAACAATCACTGACTTGTTAATCTTAAAAAGTCCCTAACAAAAGGTCTTTAACGTTATAAACCATATGTGATGAAAATACGACAGGGATTCGTTTCATTTCCCAAAAAGCTTACTTGATGAGATGTTCGCCCGTTAGAAACGGGCAGTACGTGCGCATGATTTTCTTGAAATGAATCCGACTGATGAAGCCCGTGTCTCCAGGGTCACAGGACCGCAGCGTGTGATAAAAACCTGGTAGGTCCTTTGTAATCCCATCGCGAACCATTTCTTCCACTGACTCCCAAGCCAGCAGGAGAGGTGCTTTAGTGCCTGGAGAAGGAGATCTTTTCCTTATCTAATCGGGAAACAGAAAGTTAATCAACAAAACACATTCATGAAAGGCAACCGGAGCTTTGGAAGTGGCTGACCCTGGACTTGAGTCCTAGCTCTGTCCCAGGGAGCCAACAGCTTCAGAACCTTGAACAAGTGAGTTTGTCCTCCATTCTGAAAACAGCGGTAATACTTACCCTGCACTTAGTATTTTTTAAACTAGGATACATGTGAAGAGAAAAAAACCCCATCACCTAAAACTCAGTAAGTGCAAAGGGAAACAAAACTGAGATGGCATTTTTGCCTACCAGGCTGGGTAGGGGAGGGGAGGCAAAGATGATCAAGTCAGTGAACTGCTAGGATTGATAAGAGTTTCAGAATGCTGGGAGTAGAAGCTGAGCGAAGGCTTATGGGAGGTTATTTTGCTCTGATGCAGGACATTTTGACAATATTAGGCACTTTTGACAAGCGTGTTGTTGTTGTTGTTAAGTGCCGTCGAGTCGGTTTCGACCCATAGCGACCCTGTACAGGGTTTCCGAGGCTGTAAATCTTTACGGGAGCAAGCTGGTAGTTTCAAACCGCTGACCTTAAGGTTCGCAGCCCGATTCGTAACCACTACGCTACCAGAGCTCCTTTTTGACAAGCGTAGTGGTCATGAATCAGGATGCTCATCTCAGAGTCAGCAGTTCAAAACTACCAGACATTCTGTGGGAGAAGGATGAGACTTTTTGCTCTTCTAACGATTTATGGAAACCCTGTAGAGGGTTGCTGTGGGTCGGAACCAACTCCACAGCACATCACAACAACAACAGCACTGTATTATCACGAGAGAAAGATGAGGCTTTCTGCTCCCATAAAGATTTACAGCTCAGAAGTCCTATATAGGGTCACTAAGGAGCTCTGGTAGCGTAGTGGTTACAAATCGGGCTGCGAACCTTAAGGTCAGCGGTTCGAAACT